CATGTAATATAAAATCAGCAAATAAAATTTTAAAACACTTATTCATGTTTATTCTATCTATAGGATATCCTATTAGAGCTGCTTCTGAATTTGGGCACATACAAAGACTAAAATATATACCGTCACGATCTTTATTCTACATGGAGTAGTCAGAGGTATTCTCTACTGTAGATGTTGTGATGACTGCAAGAGATGGCTAGTATAGCCGCACTTCCCTGGGTATATTTGAATACAATGTGGCAGAAGGTAACATGAACTTACCACGTCACTGGGATTATTTTTTTATTTATAATGGGCATTGCGTACACCGGGTATAGTGAGAATATAAAAAATTTTTTTTTGGGTTGAACTCCCAATCTCTTGAGTATAATTCGGAGTAGTAAACCACTAGATTACGAGGATCCCAAACGCTACAAAGATTGTAATTACAAAACTAGTATCTGACTATAAAATCTCTCAAACTAAGAAGTGCTTTAAAGGATTAGGTGAACACCAAATTCAGTAGAGCGATTAAGGGTTAGGCTATTCCAGATTTCAGCCATGGGAATTAGAACTTTATGCCACCATAAAATACAAGACCTCATACGACGTGTGAGCCATTATGTATAATCATAGAGCTTCATTAAAATGATTCGCCCATAAAACAAGAAGTTTTAAAGTTTAATGTCTTCTCTTATTTGAGTCCATATTGCATACGATTAAGTTGAGGGGACACTGGGTTTAATTATCATAAGCTCACGTCTTTTCCCTTTTTGGATAAGCAGAGACCACAGATGAGGGTTAAGCTATTATTTAAATAAGATTCAAATTTATGTATTAATTTTGGTAATTTTGTTTTTTTAGCAAATACAGTAGAGGGCTAAAATACGTTTTTTAGATATTTTTATCTATACCTCACTGTATATTTATATAAAAGCATATGGAATTCAAAATACTAAATTCGCAGAGAGGTGACCTCAGTATTGAATCGAAAAAGATGATTATTGACTTTTTTAGTGTTACTTTTTCATATGTCTGTTACAAGCTTATTATACTACATATACTTTAGTCCTTTTCTTTTACATTCTTTCCAAATGTACATAGGTCTGCTATTAATTGTACATATGTGTAAAAATATGTAAATAAGTTGTTATTTTATTAATATATAATTTTAAACCAAAAAGTTACGAGCCATCTACCCTTTTCTTCTTTTTATTTTCTATCTCTTTTAAGATCTCCTTTTGTATCAGTTAAAGTAAGTTTTTTTTATTCTGTAATTGCAATATTATATATATATATATCAGTCTCATCTATTTCAGCTGCTAGGCAGCTTGCTTTGTAAGCTGGGTTCATGTGGGAGAACAGGCAATGAAATTAAATGAATGATATGGCATGACGTCTTAGTCCTCTGGAATCCCACGGACGTCACATGATAGCATGATGTCCGTGATGTGTTTTGGTTATAACTTACTGTTAAGTTTTCTGTTGGTAATCCAATTAAATAAAGAAAGAGGTCAATATACAGACTAGAGAAAATTTTTAGAAGTACTCCCCTGTAATTGAGCTGATAGTTTCCATTATTAACAATATCGTCCTACTATAATTAGTATAGCTGTATGCAAATAAAGTACATAGATGCAACATATTATACAATACAGTGAGTATTGTATAAGCATAGGCATGCAATAAAATTCAAATTCATTCATTCGGTACAGTTCGACATATATTATTAGCATACATTACATTTGAGCGGATTGTTATAACGGTAATCGATTATCACCCTCTCCGGGGTGACAGATCAATGGGGTTATGGCGAAACGACACGCATCAAATTTGTTTTTGTCAGTTTACGTTGGTGTTAAAAATATCGTTACATATAAAATAAAAAACGTGTTTAGGTTTCATGGTACCGTTTTGTATTGATTTGTATATTTACAAATAAATCTGTTTATATGATTAAATTAACATTACCCGACACGTCGTTTACACAAAGTTCTATATGTATTTCACATAAATAATGTTGACCAATTACACAATGCCATCTAGTTTTAATCAGAGCCTTTAAGTTTCAATACTTACATAAGAAAAACGGAACCAACACAAACGTATAGGAATAAACATGTTTACATTATGCAGGAATCGAACCTGGATCTGGAGCATGGAGACCTCTAGACGCCCAGGTAGTTAAAATATATCTAAGGTCATTGCAGGTAAAATAGGTTGCAGGTAAAGCAGTTAAAATAGGAGTGTAAACTCCTAGTGAAATATGTATAGTATAAAATGTTATTTTGTTATTTATTTACATTGATACCTAATCATAATATTATTCATTTTAGCTTTCTCTTGTGAATACAGACGTTGGAAAATGTACCTACATATACAATATATAAGTATGAAAATATTTCACATAATAATAGTGTTACATTGAGAATTGAAAACACGTACATTGTTATTCGGGAGAGCACCCTCATATAACAATGTATGAATTCTCAATGTAACACTTTCTTTACATCTCAGACTTAACCCGCCGAATGCCGTTAAACATCGTGCTGCATAAAGCTTGAAAGTTGGACAATTAAATTCACAGTTGCGGTCGTTTCGTCCTGAAGACTGCCCAAATGATGCAATATAAGCTGGCTCTGATTTAGTCCCTTCAATTGTACATAAATACATAGTACTACGGAATTAAGTAGACGGAACTGCAAGTACTTATGTATCAACGTAAACTTTTGGCCGTAAATAAATAAATCTGTACAATACACACGGCGTTAACTAGTCTCAGACTAATCAGAGTTTATACTACAGATACTAGATAATTTATATAAATTCTAAAATATATTTCTTGTAAAGGCATTGAAGAGTTCCATATCATATCGGTTCATAAGTATTTTTCCTGGAAATTTATTCCACAGTGTGGTTTCCAAACGTGGTAAAAATTCTGGAAAACAATGTGTAATATGGCAATTCAAATTGTCAAGATTGAATTGAATTCGTCTAATTAAGCTGTAAAGTATAGCTATGGCCAACATAGTTATAATAAATATACCTATGATATATATGATAGAAGATGCACGCAGAGATGTGTCTACAAATACCTATGAATATTTTATTTTTCATCCTTCTTTCCTTATCACAAAGATTTTACTGCTATTTTTTTCGGTGGCATTATATTCATTTCTATTGAATATGTAATCCAATTCATTCAGTTCAAAACGTATTGTGTGTTTCGAGTTTTTCGTCTTCTCTCCAAGGAATCGGTCGCGAAAAAAATATTTCTCGGTTGATATACAAAATTTCTTTTCTATACTTTATTCATTCATTGGAACGTTTATAATTTCTGTTTAGGCATACAATCTATTTAGTAATATATTATATGGTATTTCGTATAAAAATAAATCATTCGTAAAATTTCCTGTAATATGAATAAAACGTTTTATTGGAATACCTAATTTAAATTTAGAGTAATTTTCCAACAATATTTATGAATAGTTTTTTTATACAAGTCAACTAGTATTTGATTAAGTTATTTTTGTGAAAGGAACTCGGAATATAGCATAAATTTAGTATTAGAATTTGCTGCACATTGAAAATTATTATATAAAATTAAAGGTAATTTTTATTGAAGGATTTTTTTATTGAATCTGTAATGCATGCTTATTTCAAAGTAAAAAAAAACCACATTTACCCTACAGTTGTATTTAAAGATGAATAGTGCAGTTTTTTGTTCAAATTTCAGACTAACAAATCGTGGTATACTATTCAAAAACCACAAACAAAACTAAAATATCAAGAACATGTAACTTTACATTTAGCAACTACATTGTCACAAGTCATTAACTAAAGGCGTGTTCCTAATAGACCTCTTAAATGAAAAATATAACGACTGTTTTATACGTTTTGTTTACAACAACAGCGTATACAACCACACCATTAAAATGCCTATAACACTTAGGGAGCTCCCTAAATGAAAACATTAAAAAATCTAAGCACGAAATTTTCCATGGCACAGTGTGTACCGAAATACTTGTTTTTGTACAAAGTAATTTTTGCCAAGAGCTCGCTCTCTACACCACTGTGTTGGACCGACAAAGTTATGAGTCCTAACGCGGCTCAGTGACATCACCCTTAATCCCCTGGTTTACGATCTACTGCAACATGCTCTATTGTATTGTGCTGGGTTTCTAGTACTGCATTCACATAGACGGTAATTAGAAGTGGCTTGAAATCTTACATGTTTAATTGCTAGCTTCACTACTAAACTATTACATGTCCATTGCTTATGTAAACATTGTAAATATTGAAAAGAAATAAAATATCTTTATGATATGTTAAATCTACCGTCTATTATGTCGAGATTTGATATTTAATAATTATATTACAGATACGAGTATATCATACAAAATGTATATTTACTATAATAATTCGTCTTGGACAATACACTTTTATTAATTATGTCATAATATATTTAAGTTTCTCGAAGGTAATTTCGTCTTAGCTAGGTATGTATGTAACAGATTTTTCTTCTAAATCATATTTTATCCAATAATATTTTGTGTGCCGTCTTATACCAACGTACGAATTACATATTCTTGTTTCCTTTAAATGTAATTATTAAGAAAATTGAGACTTTTTTATATTTTTATGAAATTATGTTATTAGATGATGAGATGATTATAATTAAGTTCAATAGAAATATTATTTTACGGTTTACTATTTTTTGTTTTGGATTTTACATTATATTACTAATTACTCGTTGTAGTATTAAATATCTTATCCACGAATATATGTCATTATTTTTATTTATTTGAAGGAGTATTCTGTAATAATATTTTTGTTGGTGTGAAAGTCCCTTTATAAGACCGTGTTCATTGCGAATTGTGTCATAAAGTTCAACCTTATTCCTATCTTCGCGTTCTTCTTTAACATTCGTTGCTTTTATTAAAGTCATCGCATATAATTTTTTGTGAAATGTCGCTTTAAGATATCGCAATATGTCTTATGCATATTTTTTTTGTTCTCAGGAACGTTTGTGTCTGGCTGGCTTCCAACGTACGAATACAAAGGTAAAAAGAAACAGATTCTTTTATATATACGTTGATCAACAATACACTACTAGTAGATGTTTTCTAACGAGTTTGATAACGCCTCTCGAATGGGCTCTTATTTTTAATATTGACTAGTCTATGTTTTAAGTGAATTTTCCGGACAAATTCAACGCTGGAAAATTATTTTTCATATTGTATCACCGACTCTCAGTCTATCCTTATAATATGTATTAGTATCCGTAGAATATTCTCCATCATGAAATAATATTAAACATAACCAAATAACAGGACTGCAACTAATATCAGCAATATAAAAACATGACTGTAGACGAAAAATATTGTAATTTAGACGAAAATAGTCCCAGTGGGCGATATATTTGTAATCAACAGACTAGTACTTTGACAGTACAGGAAATAGTTCAACATTGCGATATTCAACTCTCCAACTGATCTGCCAAGCGTGCAACTCATAGCTATGTCCTAACGACATCATGGAAGTGATATATATTGTGCAATAAACATATATGGGTTTTGTGCTGTGCCTAAACAAATGCAGTGTACTATTTCAGCGCCATGCCAGTTGCCAAAAAAATGAATTATGATGCGTTTGCGTTAAACGCTTTTCAGATAGCAGTTGGGACGTAGTGCAGTCGTTATGAAAAACTAATAACGGGTTTAAGATTTATTGTTAAATATCTTTATGAAACAGACTATATCCACCATGCAGACGATTGCTAGGACTAATAGATTATTGATACATTTTTAATTTCTTGCTTCTTATGGTAGAAAATATAATAAAAAAATAAAGGTTTAGTAGTGACGTTACTGAACAGACAAAAAGTAGTTATTTAGAAACTTGTAAGTAGATAGGATATAATTTTAGTTACATTATACATTATAGAAAATATAAGCCTCATATATAAGCCTCATTACAGAAAAAATAAGATCTCGTTGCTGAAAGGATTTTTTCAAGGTAACCTTAGAGAAATAGATTTCTTTGTATAGGGAGAAAAGATGAAGCTATTATAACTGTGTTATTACTATGTATTAAGTCCAGCTGGCCTCTAAGTAATAAAGTTTAACACTTTGTAAATTACACAACAATAAAATACGTATTTAATTTTGGTTCGTTAACAAATACCTGTTTTCAATAACCAGTATTTGTATCTACTCATAGTATTATTAACATAACATACAACTATGACGAGTTTGTCATCCTACTGCGGCTGCGCGCCGTGCAATATTCTGCATCTGTGGCGTGTTACGTTTGCGCGGGAAAATAAAACGACAAAAATGGATTCTTCTGCTGACATACTGATTAATTATTGTACTCTTCATTATTAATTATTTTATACTATTTATGTCTGCAATTTACATTTACTATAATAAAATACACAACAAACCCGAATATAAATGCAGCCCCTAGTAACGTACCTATCAACCAGTTATATTCACGTTCTTTCATAATTTTTGAAGTCGCTATCTACGAGCTGCAAATTAATATAACCATTTTGCCATTTAAATTAAGGGCTTATTTTGATTACACTCCACGTCAGAATAAATCCACACGATAGATGTAGGTACACATGTAATGAAATGAATAATGGAAGGACCGGGCCTGATATTGGATTTAGTGAGGTTTCTTGGGTATTGAATTCGTAAAAGGAAAAATATACGAAGTTTATCTCTCAATGCATACAGCTTTGATTACGTATTTGTGTCCCATGGATATCGCGGATCGTACCATTTATTCTAATTTGATGATGAAATAACCGCTATTTGTGAACATAAATTCACTGACAATGTTTTAGATTGACTTTGCGAAAAGGTTTCGTTACTATTTTATTCGATATCGTCGCAAAAGCGACATTTTTTTTAATGGATAGTGTTTACTTTTGATATTAATGTTGTTAGGTACACCTGATTGCATTTTTTAGTTTTGGCCAATTTATATACTATATATTTTTAGAATAATTGAGTAACTGTTTGTTTTTTATACATTTCTTCTACTTCTATTATTAAATAGCAATCTGACCTTGCTTTGCTCTGAATAAACCCTATATTTAAGCTATACCTCTAGTGGTGAAAACAATAATATATTTACTTTCGTTCAATATTAATGCGTGATGGCTGAATATAAATTTAAAGTTTTGTTCATCACGCAAAAATCGCCACTGTTTATTCAAGCATCATGTAAAAATTTCGAAAAACACATACAAACACATCATATAAAACCATTGAAAAAGTCTAAAAACTAATAAAGATGCTCCATATTAGTTTTTTTTATAATATACAGATAAAATTCTATTATCTATAGACATATAGGTATATTTCGTTTAGTCTATAGTTGCTTAACAATGCTTATTAACTATAACATACATTTTACAACTATTGTACTTTGTTACACTTTTAAATATATTTTTTTATAAATTCGAATAAAGGTTTTCAGCAATAATAAAATATTCTGAAGATGCCAATTTCCGTTATACGAATTAAGTTATCAAAAATCAAGATCCATAAGATAAAATTATGCTAGAGTCAATTTCCAATTTTTACCAACACGAAATTCGTTATTTTACCTGAGGCAATTCGGCATCTTAAATCTATGATAAAAATAAATATCTATTCTTGCAGGGTGTTAGCAAATTTTATTAAGCAACTGTGGTGAAAATATAGTTGACACACTAATTCGACTTGTAATGTATAAAATAAAAATGTTAGTAACTTCCACTTATGTTGCTAGATTGCGTTATTAAATGTAAAAGGCGCTATTAAGATTTTTTGTAATTTTTATATGGTCAAACGAAATGTTTGTATTTAATTTTCCTCCGATAGATCCCCCATCCAACTCAAACGGGAATCGAATTTAAAGGTACCCTTAGACGAAAGACATATCCGTCAGGCGGGAGTTGGGTTTCAGCCGCTCCTTAACTCCTTCCGCGGTTTTGGAATGCCATCTGCACTCGCCCCCTAGTATTTGGTGAAGCTGTAAAGGCCAACTACAGCCAACAGCATTAGAGTAGTCCGAAAAAAATGTATCTTAGATTCGATTCCATTCGGTTCTGTTCTGGAATTGGTCTCTATGTTATGTTTCATTTCTTGAACCAATAATAAGTACATCCTTGATATTAATGTGAACACGTAGTTGTTCTCTACTATATGAATTTAGAATAGATTAGAAATAAAAATATTGTATCATGATTAAATTAGAAACATCTCCTGTTTGTGTAGAGTTCTTTAGTTTTTTTGTAGACAGTAAAGTGTAAACTTACAAAATTTGTTTAAAACAGCAATTAGTAATTTTTTTGTTCGTTCTTCTTTAGGAAAGCGGTATGCTTCAGGACCGCTTTCCTAATGTGTAAAAAAAGTGTGAGAAGAATGCTAAAATTTGAGTTTATTTCAATATATAATTTTCTATTCCATTATATTTTTATATATATAGAGTTAACTCCGTAACCACTGCCCCGATTTGATAAATTCTTACTCTTTTAACATAACATATGTACATAGCTCACGTTACTCAATACATCGTTTCACAGTAACTTGATCTATATACATATATTATGTTAATGTTATTGTATGCAAAAGTCACAAAATTTGAGCACAAAAGCAAAGCCGGAAGAAGTTACTAGTATAGTAATTATAGTGTCTTATTATGCTTCATTTATTGTATTATTTTTTTATATTTCCCAGCCATGTGAAGAATTTTGATAAAGCAAAATATTTCCTTAACAAATATTTTATGACTTGGAAGATGGAGGCATTTTACGTAAAATTTTCTCAAAATACCACCTACTCGCATATAACAATTATAGAATACCTTACGATTTTATGAACAGTGATTATAATTACTAAATCTAAGTTTAAATTATGAAAAAAAGTGATAATGAGACTATATTGTAACTCTTGGGTTTGGATTTTACTTCGAAAATTACTGTCGTGCAGGTACTGGAAATTCCTCATACAATTTTGTAAAACTAAAATATCTTGCTACCATACCCTGTAAATTCATTGCCTTATTCACCTTTCACCCACAAAGCAAGCTACTTGAATAGGTGAGACAGAAACCCAGGCAAACGACTTTCTACAAAGTTTTGCATTAACATCAAACAAGGGGTTTTATATTTCCCTTTTTTTATATTATATCTATAAAAGATTTTTTCCTACTCAAACACGAATTATATGGCTCCCATCGCATAAAATCCAGCATTACATTTTAATAGGCTTTATGGCTTAGAAAGTACAGTCCTTTGGCCGTCATTATTATTATGATGATGATGTTGTTTTTTCTATGTTATAAGCATAATGTCGTAATATTTTTATATGCGTTTTGTTCGTAAATATCTGTTTAAATTTTTTTATATTGCTGAATCAAAATGTCATTCTGAATTAAAATTCACTTTCATTCGAATACGTTTGAAGATAACTTTTGAAGACATAGACATCAAGTTGTTGGAAATTGAGAATATTAAATATTATGGGATATTAACAACTAACTTTCGCATAATTAAATTGACAACTAACTTCCTTTTCCAAATTAAAAGCTTGCACATATGTTAATAATCTTATTCACTAAAATTAAAAGATCGGAGGTTAATGCAGTATAATATTAAAGCTGCAATGTGCCTTCTTCTTCAAATATTCGACAAATCAATATACAAAGAAGAAGTCCTAACTGCAACGAATTCGAGGCACATTCTATAAAAAGTGGTGGGAGTGGAACAAAATATAACTGATCCAGTATCGAGGGAGCCGTCCGAACGAATGATCTGGAAATTTAGACCCGGCAAGACAAAGTTTTTGCAAGTGGCCTCTCGTTATTTTAATGCGACATCATTGTTTGTTTATGGTGAAAATTGTCAAGTGAACTGCTCTTCTGAGAGTGATATAATATGTTATTTAAATTGGATACTATGTGGAATTGTTAGTGTGGTGACCCGGATGAATAGATGTTGTCGAGGATAAGGATTCAAGGTTCCGGGGACGCAAAAAGAATAAGCAGTTTTAAACTTTTGATG